TTGGTAACACTACTTTCGTACAACAGACATAAGTTTTAACAAACATTTAGATAAACCACTTAAATCATAAGTAGGATACGTTGGTTGAAATTAAATAAACTTCTATGGACTATGGTCAAATCCTGTTTACATGGAAACCTTCAAATCTTCCATAGCTTTTCAAGTAAATCCGTTGATTAGTGCGTATGAGAATTTTACACCACCATGTACGTGCAAATCAGTTTTCATCCATCCCCTGTATATGGAAGGTACGATTCAGATCTTAAACATTTCCCTTTTCACAATCATAATGCTTCAAACTTATGTATTCATAAGAAGCTAGAACAACAATTAACATACCTTAGGAAAGAGAATAACAATCAGTCGGCGTTGTATTCATTGATCCATCAATCAATTGTTCCAATTTGGCATGACTTGCTTGTACCCGTCTACAATTCCTATCTAGGCTTATAAATTTTCTCAGTATTTCGGTAAAAACAATTGTTTCTTATGTATCTTATGTGCCAGTTGTGAAGGTTTATTGAACTTAGTCAGGACTAGTAAGATGGTATGTAAATACCTGGTTAGGACATGAGGCATGGAATGATTATATCAATGGGTTTAATTCCAGTTCTCTTATACTTGGTCAAAGCATTCCTTACACAATATATATGACTCACATTTTGATAGAAAAACGTTTAGGTACATACTGAACTAGACCTATTTTATTTACTTTCTCTCTATAAAAGTAACACAGAGGAAACTAAAAATATGACTGAAGGAAAAAGATACCACTTGATAACATGAGTCGTTAGAAACTACTCAGGTTGATTTGCGGATTTCGCTAGCCAGGTTATAGTGATTTGCACACCAGATCAGAACCGTGTGAGCGGTTGCTAACTGCTCATATTTTTTACACTTTGTGATATTAGCTGGGTGGTTTTCAACGAAAACCCTGTTGAAAACTTAATTAGGCAGTTGAAAAACTGCTCAGCTGTGGAAAATGGTAAGCACCGACTGTGGAGTTTGTAAATCATTTGCAAATTGTTCATCCGATTAAAAAGTAAAATGGTACGTAATGCATTTGCGGAAAGATGATAAGTTGATACAATTACATCAGTTGGATTCATTTTGATACGTTATGTAACTACTATTTAAACTAACTGAAAGAGTCTTTTTTTGGCACACTGCCATTTATATAAACAGGAATGGTGATTGAAGTTCGAAAAAACACCTAAAGCAGAGACAGGAATCGAACCCATTGGTCACTAATCCGAATTATGCAGTAATCCATGTAACCAAATATCACAGGTCAGCAAAGCGACATATAACTTCTTTAGCTGCTTTTAAAATCCTTGCATTAAACTACTCACAATACCTTGAACAACTTTAAAGAAAACAAGGGGGATCTTCGAAGTACGGAGTGGAGAAGCAACCTACTATGATAATATTATACATATACATGTATATGCACTTCACAGGAAACTTATACATACGATGAAAATTTTGAGAAAATAAAAAAGGTTAGCAAGTACAAAATGAGTTCAAGTTGAATAAAAACACTTAAATCGATGATAAATGAAGAATAATTTTCAGTTAAATCAATGGATAAACGCGTCTTTGGTATTTCGCATTTATGACCACATAGTTATATGTATAAACAACACACAACACAGTAATTATGTTTCATTGGTAGCAGAAACCTATCACGTTTACTAAAACGGATGTAAAATCATGTTACGAATTAAAATTACAATGAACTTTCCAAGATAAATCTAAAGGTATGACAGACGATGATGAGTGATATGTGCTTATATATATAGCCTTGTACTCATGTTTTGCAATGATAAGCATTTATTCATGAAAAATCATGTTTCTTCTAAGATTCAAAAATGTATCACATAGCGTTGAAGTCAGAGAAACTATAAGTCAAATACTATCTGACAGCTTGTAGCGATTTATTTGTTGTTTTCAAGTTAGTGTTCATCATGGACTGACACGAGTTGGGGAAATATTAAAAATCTAGAAGCACCGGAGAGTTGTTTCGTCTCAGTATCAAACTCCTCAATGGTGTACACCCAGAACCTTTAGGTTTCGTGATCAGTACGTTATCATTGAACCAATGATTTAGAATCCAATGGTCCCTATTTTCTACTTATGTCAATTCACGATGTACCACGACCTCTATCCAACACAATCGCTGAAATATGGATTACTGGATCCCGAGCTAGTGGATCAATGGTAACGTGCCGGGTGCGATCCCTGGCAGGGTCACAAGTGCGCACTGCTGAGTTCAATACTAGGACGAAAAACTTATCCGGTGTCAGTTTGTGATAAATACCAATCTGCAACTCAAATACTCACAGAGTCGCAAACTCTACATAGAATCATACAATGTACACGAACGGGTGAGTGGACGGTAACTTATTTGAGTTTTCGGTTTCATAAATTCCAAAGATAAATATCAGGAAAACCTTTTTTGGACTAAACTGATGAATAAATCAGATAACATTCGAATTCATAATCTTTTAAGATGACAAGTTCGCCAGTCGATCATCTTATTAAAGTCAAAGTAATAAACCTACACTTTTGAAAGTTCATTCTTGCTTTAATAATACCCATCAAGAGAATTAATTTTGTATGAATGAGGACAGTACTAACACATAGTTGGAGTAAATAGAAAAGAAAGAAAGAGTATATTATGGGTATAATTATAGATAATTTCTAGTTTGTATTTTATGAAACTGTTAACAGAAAATATCCCTTTACATTAATGACTTTAAGAATAATCCAACTTTGAATTATACGTTGGAGCGAAACATAATACCTCTTCTTAAAACCTTTTGGACCACATTCAGAAAAGACCTCAATCTTTTTATAATTAATATCATAGCAACACGCTAATATTCAGGGGAGAAAGTGACAGAGAAACTAGAATGTCCAGAGATTTCGATGATTGGTTTACAGGCTTATTTTTGGAGAAGATAGTAACCATGTATAAGAAGCTTTATATTCTATAGGTTAGGAACCATACCTGGTATGGTTAGACGGACTTAGTGATGAGATGGTCGGAAATCGATCTTTAATATCATTTAGCTGCAAATATTAAGGGAGAAGTAAAGCCTAGAACATTCACTCTGTGTATTCCTAACAAACCAATAAATACGTTATCATTTTAAAGTATTTAGAATCGAAACTATGGAGTCTTGAGTTCGCTCTATATCCCTTCAACAATAAATACTATTGACTACTTCTATACCGGGAAAAAATATACATTGGGCGTTTCTCTATTTAACCTTTATACTCAACTTGATGTTGTTTCGCTAAGAAAACTGTACTGCAGAATAATGATTCATTTGAAGAAACCAGGTAATACCTCGACTACCAACCCACATGAAAACATCCATTAAAAGTCATATTACCTTGCAAATTATAATCCTGGAAAGGTGGTATTCATCAAGAAGGACCAGTGGGATCTTGAGAGCACTGGACAGTTGTTTCGTCTTACTCTGGGAATCACCAACAGTTAGACAAACGGTCAAAATCAACCTAGAACCTCGCACAAAAGGGCTTCGGTTCGAGTTCACCATACTTCATAGTAGTAAGAAAAGAATGAGTGGATAGGAAAAGACTGATATCAAGGTAGAAAAAGGTGTATGGGAGAAGGAATTTGAAGATGAAGGTTAGTCAAAATATTCAAGCTTTGGAAGACGTCAATAAGTGAATAGAACCATGACTGATTTTCGACCATTTCATCAAAGAGCTTCAACCATTGGTTTCTGTGGTCTCGTGGACCTCAGTCAAATATTCTACACCTCCCTATGCGGCTTATATCAACAGTCAGAGATTTCATCGACTAAGGCCACTTCTTGGTTTGGCCACTATGAGCTTTCTTTCAGCCCGATCTTACTTTTGTTAGCACTGCACATCGAGGTAGATGGTGGTTCGGCATGTGCAACATACGTCCACACCGCCTTAGTCCCTGAAGGTTCATAGCCTCATCGACCGACCTGCCCTTCCCTTAACCTCGACATTTCCCAGACAGTGATTCCACCATACGCAACCAACGCTGTGAGGACACCTGTGGTCAAAAGCATGTGTTATTTTCTTATCGTTTATTTTTACCAGCCATTTATCACAGACAAATAACAGGAGAGAACGAAGTTCAGTGGAGTTTAATCTTCCTTTAATAGTTAGTCGGATATCTTACCAGAAGAGTGTACGTTGGCAAATCAAAACGGGTTATTCGTATCTAAGTTGGGGTTTTTTCAGCCCATACGGCCTGATGCAAATCTTAGGGGGGGGGGGGGGGTGAAGTGGTCGACAAGTTTAATCACTTCATCCCTCAGCTGTGCAAACTCACAACAGAATCAGAGATCGAACCTGGGACCTTCAGGTCTCGTGATGAGCACGTTACCATTTATCCCCTAAGTCGGACTTCAGTGGCCCACATTTTCCTACTTTTGCCGATTCGTGATACAGAGCGACCATCATCCAGTGTAATTAAGTAGCATCCGCTTCATTTTCCACTTAGTTGATTCTCCAGGTTGCATTCTCTCATCAGGACTTCATGGTTTCCAATAGAATCGGAAAACAAATAAATCCTACAAACCTCAAGTTGATTTACCTTACAGTACTCAAGAGACGGACATCCCTAAATTCTAATGAGAAGCCATGACCTGTGGGGTAAACCAAACCAGAAATCAAGCGGATGCCCACTGATGACATTAGATGATGGTCACTTTATATCACAAATTGACAGAAGTAGGAAAACGTGAACCATTGGATTCCGACCCCGAGATTGAATGGCAACATGCTCGTCATCAGACCTAAAGATCCTGGGTCCGACCCCTGGTAGTGTAGTGGGTGCGTACTGCTGAGGAGCCCTAGAATGAGATGAAACAATTGTCCAGTGTTTCCACGTATTTAGTGGTTCTCTAAATGATGTCATTTCGTGATGAATACCACCATGAAATATGAAACATTTTCACAAAGATAAAGAGAGCAACAATTTTACTCACCATCACCTTCTATGATTGTCACTTCTCGACCATTCACTTTAATGAGAAGATCACACAGAAATGGAGATAAACCACGATCAATGACTAAATCATTTAGAAACTATAATTGAAAGAAAACAAAGTAAAGAGAAATATGAAAATAGAAGCCTTATAAAATACACAAATAGATTAGACGAAAGATATTGTTTTCAAAAAATTTCTTGTCAGGTTATTTTGTTTTATATCAGTGGTTAGTTAAATATATGAACTGTGTGCTCACAATGTGATTTTTGTAAACGTGAGTAGTTCAGGTCAAATAGCTAACAGATTCCTCCCTACAGCATACTTGTGTGGGAATGACAATCAAAACCAAATGTATAAGGGATTCACTTTAAGAGCCATTTGAGTGAGTGTTATTTTCGATAACTCCTTCAGGTTCTATAGTTATGTGTACATATCGAGAAATTACGCGTGAGCAATATCGAGATTCAGCTTACCAGTTTGTTAATAATACGGTTGAAGAAGTCAATTGAAGAGGTTGTGTTCGTCAAGATAGCTAAACAATCACTAATCTCTAAACATTATTATCGACGGATATTATTTTTCTACTTGTCTTTAAAGGTGTCTAGTGTAACTTACATCACATCCTGATCATTTTCATAGTCAAAGCTGAACTTATCGATACTTTGAAAAAATAAAAGTAACAATTTAATGTGGAATTATAGTAAAAAAAATGTCTGAACTCGTTTGTCTGGTATTCTAATTTTAAAAGAAAGTTTTCTTCAATGAACCTTATCAGTGAAAACCCAAATCACTCACAAGTATAAAGCACGCCTACGAATGCATAAAGCAGCAGTTACTGTTCGTGTATGGTAGTGTTTATGATAAAGAACATTTTTTTCCTCTTGGACAGGTATGTGAGTTTAGAAGTGAAATTTTACAAAAAGGAAGAAAATGAGTACAGACAAACAGTGTAGCGTTACCATTATCATAAATATATTTAAAAGTAATTTCCATTACGAATCCTCGTCAGTTGGCGGGATGGGGGAACTGTACGGCTGTTTCGTCCTTGTTTGGGACTCCATAGCACTGCGCACCTAGGAAAGTCAGGCTTTGAACAAAACAAAAAAATCTCCAACACATTAAACGGCAAATAATGAGTTACAATGTGTTTTATTTTGGCGGTTACTGAACAGTAGTTCAGTATGATCCCTGAATCTCAATGCAAATCGGATTGCTAAACTCTTTCGAAGTTATGCATTTGAAAGGTTTGTGGGGGTATCTTATAAGGTCAGTTTTTTTCAAGAAGTAGCCAATGAAGAAACTCAATCAATTGATTCAGCATAAGGATCATTACCTACTGTACTGTCTTTTGTACTTTTTATGCTTCATGCATGGAAGACAAACAAAATGCAAACGAGACTTGAATAAAGAAAGTACATCTGGTCTCTGTGGAAGTCATTCCACACTAGTATGTAGCGTTTTAAAAATCACACATCATGATATACTAATCTAGTGATGATATCATTATTATTCATCTTTTCGGTTCCTAATGGAACATGGGGCTTCAGTAGCACATCTCCATTCCACTGTGTTCTCTGCAATCTTTTCAACCTGGCTCCACAAATGCTCACAAGCCCTCATTTCGTCCTCACACGATTTCCTCCATGTCACCTTCAAACGCCCAACTTGTCGTTTCCCATCTGGGTTCCACTAGAGGGTCTGGCGCCTGATGTCCCCAAATGATCTTCTTAGTGCATGCTCAATCCATCTGCACTTCCTTCTAGTGCATATTTGTTCAGCGATAGGACCTTGGTTGGTTCGCTACCAGACCAGAGATCCTTGTTGCTTACTCTCTCTGGCCATCTGATATTCAGTAACGAGCCAGCGTAGGCAGTTGTTGATGAATGTCTGTAGTTTGTTGCGCCAAGTCTCCAAGCCATACAGAAGCACTGACTTGACATTGGTGTTGAAAATCCGGATGTTGTTCACGCTTTATGCTGAGTACAGAAGATCTCCACACTGGTTTCAGGCTAATGAACGCCTGTCTTGCTTTTCCGATCCTGGCTTTGACGTCCTCGTCTGTGCCTGTGTTGCCTGCAGTTGAGACGATGCTGCCTGGATAGATGAAAAAGGCTACTTCCTTTAAGTTTTTCCCGTTCATGGTGGTGTTGGTTGGGTATCTTCATCACCTCTATCTTCTCTACGTTCACTTGAAGTCCCTCCCTCTCTGCCTCTTCTGCCAACTTGTTAAGTTTCTCCTGTAGATCTCCAAGTTTGTTTGACATTAGACATAAATCATTGGCGAAACTTAAATCTTCTAGGATCTTTTCCGCGGTCCAGCGTATCCCCCTCTTCTCGTTCCTTACTGTCCGTTGCATGATGCAGTCCAGTTGACCACAATCAGGAATATCATGGGTGATAGTAGACAGCCTTGTCTTCACTTCATTTCAACGGTGTCACTTAGCTTCCCGTTGTGAATTACTTGGCATGTGGCGTCTTCATATAGTTGCTGAATGGGGCTGATAAAGGTTTGTGGTATTCCATAGTGTTGAAGCAACTGCCTGCCAAATTACTTTACGGGTCGACGTTATCGAAGGCCTTTCCAAAGTCGACGAAGTGGGGGTGAAGAGTTGACTGTCTTTCCATACTCTATTCTATGATGATCCATAGCGTTGCAATTTGGTCCACACATGATTTGTGCTTCCTGAAGCCCACCGACCAGCCAGCCAGCCAGCCTGTTCTGGTCGTAATTCTGAACCCACCCCATCTTTTAGTCTCTCCAGGATGATCTGGCTTAATATTTTGCTTCGGGTGGACAGCAGCATGATTCCGCGCCAGTTCTTGTCCTTGCAAAGACTTCAGTCACCCCTCTTCGGGAGTTTGACAAGGTAGCCCTTCTTCCAATCAGTCGGCAGGTACCTTTCCTGCCTTCCAAACCTTCTGTAATAGTGGTGTGAGCAGGTCTGCTATTGTCTCTGCGTCTGTTTTCAGTGCTTCTGAAGGAATTCCATCTGGTCCTGCTGCTCTCCCGGATTTCAGTAGCCTTGTGGTATTCAGGACTTCGACTTTTGTTGGAGGACTTGTGTTCACTTGTAGTTCTGTGACTGGGCTGCTGGTGGTATTTCTTGACGAGTTGCAGGTGGTGGGGTTGGTGCGTTCGAGAGCCTTACGTAGTGGTCAGACCATCGTTTCCTTTGTTTCCCTTCCTTGGTAATTAGATTTCCTTCATCACCTTTTATTGGTTTCATCTGCGTTGATCGCTTCCCTCCCAGATAGTAACCTGGTTATTTGATACAATGTTGTCAGGTCCCCATCTCTCCTACCTGCAGTTTGTTCTGCTTCACTTGCCAGTGTGTCGTAGAAATGTCGTTTGTCTTTGAGCGCACTCTTCTTCACTTCTTTTTCTAGTGCTTTAAACATTGTACTCAGTTCCTCTTCTCGTCGTTCATCCTTGCACTGTTTCATCTTCCGATTCACCATCACCATCTTCCTTCCCCTCCTCTATCAGCTTCCCTGTGTCCGTCGAAATCCATTCCTTATCTTCTTCCTTCTTCCCTCCTAATACACCTATACAGGTGTCTTTCCATATATCTTTCAAAGCGTTCCAGTGCTCATCCACACAGGTTTCTTCTGGAATGCTGTTCGATATCTCCCATTTTGTCTTGATGGATGACGTGAAGATTTTCTTTGTGGTTTCGTCCTTCGGTCTCTGTTCTGGGTGTTGAACCAGAGCTATGGTCTTTCACCAACTTCCTTGAAGGCTTTCAATTTGATTTGGAAGGTTCCTTGCACTAGATAGTAATGTGAGCCTACATCTGCTCCGCTTCTTGATCTTGTGTCAAGTAGGCTGCGTCTCCATTTTCTTCAGATTGCGATGAAGTCGATCTTATTTCTAGTGTGTCCACCTGGTGAGATCCTTGTCGCTTTGTGGATATCCTTGTGTTTGTATACACTGCCTCCAATCACCAAATCGTTGAATGCACAGAATTCTGCAAACAGTTCTCCATTCTCGTTCATGACTTCACCGAGTGCTTGTCGACCCATGATGATTTCTCTTTCTGTATTGTATGCTCCCAGTTTGGCATTCATGTCTTCCATTAGAATTTTGATGTCGCCAACTGAGGTCAGCGCTGATTGCAGTTGTCTGTAGAATTCCTCCTTCTTCTCTTCATCTGCATTATTTGTAGGTGAGTAGCATTGTACGACTGTGACTTTCTGTCCTTTTGAGTTGAACCTTGCTGTCATGATCCTCATCCTGGTGGAGATTGGTTCCCACTGCACTAAGGAGATCCTTCGATGCTCTTGGGGACATGATGATAGCCACTCCAAAACTCAGTGTGCTCGTGGTTGTCGTCTGGATGACCGGAGTAGATTATTGATTCTCCAGTTGACAGTTTGGAGACTCCACTTCCATTCCATCTGCTCTCGCAAATTTCTAACACTTCAATGCGATACCTTCTCATCTCCTTTGCAATCTGGGCAGCCTTGGTAGGTTCAGACATGGTGCGGACATTCCATGTCTCCACGTTTACTTTCGCCTTTATCGAGAGAAGACACATCGGCCAATTGGCTTCCCGAAGGCTTTCACCAACCGGCGTCATTTCGTCTCTCCGATTCCAGAGAGGAATAATGGTTTTTATTTTTTAAATTTCGTTTGTGCTTTGAAGTTTCTTTAGCGGCTGGATTTGTTTTACGGGGTAGGGTTGGTAGCCCTACGCCCAACCTTCCCTCTTTACCCGGGCTTAGGACCGGCTAGTAACTAGTGAACTAGTTAACCAGGCGAGGTTTTAGTGATGATAAGCCAGCAAGAATTTGTTAACTTTAAGATATTAAAACGGATGATAACTAGTAAAAGTAAGACAGCAACTGAAAATCAGAATAACTACTAGTAGTAAAATTTTGATAATTAAAACAGACTTAAATAATTAATAGTTTACGCTATAATAATTAAATGGCTTTATGAAGTTACCAATTGCATGATCACGAATAGAGACGAAGAAAAATTAAGACAGTTAAAATGATGATGATAGTTAGTAAGTTGTTTCAGGGATGGGATAGTCTTTTCATAGTTCATGTATAGTGAGATAAACTATGTGCATGGTTAAGATAACGAAAAAG